AGAGAGAGAGAGAGAGAGAGAGAGAGAGAGAGAGAGAGAGAGAGAGAAAGTGTCGTGATAAGGGGGAGAGAGATATATGAAGGTGATAAGTCTACCTTTATCTTTAAATACACATATTAATTGTATATTTAAATTAATCATTTTTTTAAATCTTGTAATTTTGCAATTAATTTTATAGATATTGTTATTTTGCAATAAAAAATAATATGTCTTGTATAGGATGTAATTTCCTCTAAACAAATGAGTTCCTTTTCACTATATAATAATGTTGGACTGGGCCGCAACCGAGCCTTCACTACTATTGCAATCAAATATTCAACATTGATGGCCTACTACAAGTAGCCCATCTTTCCTATTAATATTTCCTGTACTAAAATTATTTCTAAACCCAAATCCTCACTTCAATTGAAAAGCATCGTCAAGTCATTCAGCCTTCAGGTACTTATCTCTCTCCTCTATTTACTGCTTAATTTGGTTCGTTGATTTATGTATGTTTATGCGCCGTATTGATTTGTTGGGTTCGGTTAATTCTCTGTGCTTGAGCGAGATTTTGGCGAAGACGGCGTAAAGAACACCGATTTGGTATTTTTAGGATTCTGGGTGTTGATAATATTTGTTTGTTTAATGAAATGCAATCTGGGTTTACTTTTGTTGTTACTTTGTGATGTTTTTTAGGGCTTGGCTTTGAGATTATGGATAATAGCTGGTATAGTGGTAAACAGGAGATGCACTACAAGAAGCAACAGAAAGGCAATGAGGTATGGGCTCTATAACTTTGCTTTTTCTTCGCATTGCCCATGTGTTTTGTACTTCTCATCTATGGGATCTGGATGACTAGTTAATTATCTGTAGTTTTGTGACGTTTGCCGGAGCTTTAATGTTGGTAGATTATCTGTAGTTTTGTGACGTTTGTCGAAGCTTTAATGTTGGTAGATTATCTGTAGTTTTGTGACGTTTGTTGAAGCTTTAATGTTGGTAGATTATCTGTAGTTTTGTGACATTTGTCGGAGCTTTAATGTTGGTAGATTATCTGTAGTTTTGCGATGTTTGTCGAAGCTTTAATGTTGGTAGTTAGTTCTAAAAAGTGCCCATTTTCTGGCAACATTTTCATGAAAATTCATATGTTTCAAGTTTTTAGGCAAGCATCTTGTTATATATGATTTTAGTTTCTTCCAAATTTGCTGTGATAAATTGTAATTCTGTTGTTTTTTCTACCCTTTCCTTGTAGTTCTGTAATATTTGAACTACTTGGCTAATTGTTCCAGAGGTAGTTATGGGGGATGAAACTTAATGAAGTAACCGTACCGAATTCTTTACTTCGATCAAAAGCATTTATTTATTTATTTAATTTTTGCGTTAGTACTACTGTTTGGTTATGCTGCACACATGTGATATTAGTACACTTATTAAATGTTTCGAGAGAATCAACACAAATGCCCAACCTGCAGCTTTGGTTTTAATTTAGTAAAATGGCGATTTCAAATTTTGTATTGCAAAAATTCGTGAGGGAGTTTACTGTGTGGTTGTTAGTTGAAAGCTGAAGGCTGTGCAATCTCTGATACTTATCATGGCTACAGGTTTTGTGCTCATCCCTTCCGGTGGAAATATACATATTTTGCTTTCTTTGATTATATGATCTTCAAAACTTTTTTATTGGTCCTATATGGGAACCGTGTTCCTTCCTTCCTTCCTTCGTACTGTAATATTTATTGGCAAAAAAACTGGGAAATCCACACATTTTCCATGAATATTTCTTATGACCGATGTTTCACTTTGTTGCACGTAATACAAAGCGATCTGATTTTGTAAGGTGTAAAATCTATATTTTGGAAACAGAAACTTATGCCTATGCATATTTTGTGTTATATCTTGGTGATGTAATTTCAACATCACATAACCATAGAGTAAGATCACTATTGTTTCAGTGACATATTTTTTTGTTCCCTGATTTAGGCATATGAGGCTTCTGTTCTTGAGGACCTTGCCGAGGATTTTCGTTTACCAATTGATCACAGGGTGACAGAGAGCATTGATATGGATTATGTCGAGCAGGCATCTCTAGACACGCAGTTGACCTCGTCAAATGTTGGGTTTAGGCTACTTCAGAAAATGGGATGGAAAGGAAAGGGACTCGGAAAGGAGGAACAAGGTCTATACATGTGGTGAACTTGTTGCTTTTTTCTTACAGAAGTTTTTTCTTTTACACTTTTCATGCAGCACATTTATTTTCTCATATATGGACAGTTCTGATTCATTTGTTTGAATTTTCCTGTCTAACGTGGGAACTTGTATTCAACTCCATATTCTCCAACTTTCTGTTTTAATTAATGAGGGATAATTACAAAAAGTACCTTTGAGGTGTGACCCTATACTAAAAATATCCTATTATATAGTCAAAATTACTAAGAAATACACCTGATAGTTGATTTTTTTTTTTTTATTAATTGTTGGAGTTAACGGGCTAATTGTAATATTTTTATAACCTTGATGGGTTTTTTTTAAATGTTTCTAATATGGAGTAATGAAAGACAAAGTTAAACCTCAGGGGTGTTCTTTTTAACTTTGCTGGGCCTGCATTTTTATTTTTTTTTAAAGGGGTAAAAAAAAAGAGATTAACATTTAAGGGTTAGTTTAGTGCTTCTCAGGGGTGTAATTCTAGTGCTTCTCAGGGGTGTAATTCTAGTGCTTCTCAGGGGTGTAATTCTAGTGCTTCTTCTATTAGTGAAGTTTCTAGAAAAAAAATATATCAAACGACGCAATGCACCTTGGGTCGCTACGGAAACAGCCTCCTTGTATAATTACAAGGGTAAGGTCTGTGTACAACTGATCCCCAGACCCCAACCAGTTGGGAATATACTGGGTATGTTGTTGTATGTTGTATGTTGTTGTATTTAAGGGTTATTTTGTACTTAACTCAATACTGACAATATCAGAATTTTGTGAAGTTGTTCTGTAACTTTCAGTAGAACATCTAACTGGTTGCGTAATATGGAATTAAATCATGGGCAAGTTTCTGATACCTTATACCAGGCTGACAAAATATTTGCCCTTAGCCTCTTCTAAAATTTTACTTCAAAATGTATAACTGTGTGTTACATTGTAGCTCTATCCAGTTGATCTTGCCTGAAATGTGCACTCATCTGTTTCTTTCTTCCCATGCCTTGATTTGTTTGCTTAATCATATCATTGTGTTGTTTTACTTTAGGTATTATCGAGCCAATAAAATCAGGTATAAGGGATGCAAGGTTAGGTCTTGGCAAACAAGAGGAAGATGATTATTTTACAGCAGAAGAAAATATTCAACGTAGAAAGCTAGATATAGAAGTTGAGGAGACTGAGGAACTTGCCAAAAAGAGAGAGGTACGCGTTTTGATAATGGTGAAAGGAAAAAAAAAAGAAAAAGAAAAAAGAAAAACATTATTCCTGCTCTAGGTAATCTGAAACTTGATGCTGACCTTTTTTCTGAAACAAATAGCAGAAAGGCAGGCACATAAACATATATGTGTATGTATATGAATAACGAGAAGGTCAACTATGGGAACTTGTTGAGAGTTTTGGTGCAGTTTTTATTATCTGGTGGCTTTGTACTGCCCGCTTCGTGCGCGTTATTAAAATCCAGGTTATAGCAGAGCGCGAGCAGAGGATCCAGAGTGATGTGAAAGAAATACGTAAGGTCTTTTTTTGCGAGCTGTGCAACAAGCAATATAAGCTGGCCATGGAGTTTGAGGCTCACCTCAGCTCCTATGATCATAACCACAGAAAGGTAATTTTTCTCTTTTATTATGTTTAATGTTTGTCCTGAATTCATTCTTGTTATGTTTATGGGGTTGCTTTATGATGGTGAAATTTATTAAATCATTTTTTTTTTGGATTTCAGAGGTTCAAACAAATGAGAGATATGCAAGGAAGCAGCAGTCGTGATGATAGGCAGAAAAGGGAGCAACAACGTCAAGAAAAGGAGATGGCAAAGTTTAAGCAGATGTGTGTTCTTGTTCATATAATTGTTATATGCTTTCTATTTTAAAGGCCTTAATTAAGATTTTCATATTTGATGTAATTAACAGGGCCGACGTGCATAAGCAGCAGCAAATGCTGACTCGGGATGAGAGTGGGACCACCGCCTCTCCTTCCGCAACAACTGGCGCTACTGCAGTTGTCAACCAGGATCAAAGAAAAGTTTTAAAATTTGGATTTTCCTCAAAAGGCAGTACCCTTAAGGTATTTTTCATTTCCCTTTTTTCTTTTCTTTTTTTTTCCCATTTTTTTATATTGTTCTTCAGGTATCAATCTATTCTTATCTGTGCTTGCCTGCTCTGATTTTCTATTTTCTTGGATGCTTGTGCTGTGAATTTTGTGTTTCATAATTTCTTGATGTTTTTCCTTCTCATGAAGCAGAGCTCTATTAACACAGCCTCAAAGAAGCCGAAAGCTACTATTGCCTCAGTTTTTAACAATGAGAGTGATGAAGAATAGAGAGGAGGTCAATAATGTATGATTACATTTTCATCTTGTATTTTGCACTTGAAACAATGTTGGCCAGACTTGAAATGGTTTCGTCGGTGGATTTGGTTTCTGATGGGGTTGTTGTATTGCATATACTTATATGGTATGGCGGGGAAGCAGAAATGAAGCAAGGATATTTTACTTCGTGGTCGTCCATGTTCTTTTGGAGGTTGGTAACAGAGATCATCAATATTTAGACCTCAGTTTGTATTGGGTTTGATTAGATTTGCATGTACTCTTTAATACAAGTTCACTCTTATGTCATTTTTTTTTTTCTTTTTTTTTTTG